AGAAAGATTCTCAGAATATCTTGGACAAAGAAGAGGAGAAATACTGACATCTTGAAAGATCTGAACATCAAGGAAGATTGGCTAATTAACAGCCTCCTGTCTCGGAGGCTGAAATATTTTGGTCATATCAAGCGCCACGACGGATTGGAAAAAAAATTATAGCAAAAGGCATGGTACCAGGAAAGAGGGGCAGGGGCCGACCGACACGAAGATGGGCACGGGATATAAGGGACTCCTTGAGTATGAAAGTGCATGAGGCGGGAGAACTGGCGAGACACCGAGTTTCTTTCAGGCAGACTGTGATGAGAGCGAAGTTCTGCAAAGGACCTGCTACATGATGATGATCTTATTTAATCCACCAGGATTATGTTTTACATTATATGTCCCCGCACATAGATCTAAGCATTGTGTGCAGGAGGGGGGGGGGGCATGTATATACGAACTAAAAGCTGGAGAAAGTCTGTACAATTTATCCTTCTGCGTCACTAAAACAATTTGAGCAAATCACTTTATTTCATGGTAATCCACTTCCTTGTGCCTACATTAGCATGATTAAGATAAACGATGAACATTTCACATTGTGGCAGTTTTTCCCCCTGCAGTTATGCACTGGTAAGTTGGTCAAAAATACCCTGTACAAGCTTCGAGGTGATAACTTGGATCTAAAGCGTTCTTTGAGTTTTCAGAGTTTTATTGCTATTTTATATATTGTATAATCGTTTCACTCAGACATTTATGCAATTGCTCTCATTACTACACTCTTGTCGTTTAGAAAAACAAAAAAGCTACAAAGGTGAAAGTAAAGTTTCCGGTATCATTATCAATTGTCAATACTGTGTCGATAAACACGGATGTTGTTTAGTCTTTAGTGGTGGTGTGATAATAATCAGTCAGGCTTCCTGTAAGTTATTAAATATTATAATTAACTGCTTGTTCTTCGTTAATATGAATAATACATTTGACTTAGATTGATCAGAGTTCATGAAATGAGAATTCCAGTACTAAACTATTGCTGTGCTGTCTTTTCATAATCTGAATACTATTCAAGGCTATTCACTTTGCTGCAGTGGGGGTGAGTGTGCATCAGATCTCGCGGAGGCTTCTGTGAGAATACCAGCCTTAGTGAAATAATAATAGTTAATAGAAAATAAACGTTTTTATGTAGTCTATGTAGCAGAGAGTGACTGCAACTTCCGCATATGTGACTTTACAGTCATAGTTAGTGTAGTGAGTAGCCTAGACGCTGTTGTTTCTCAGTAGGCGTAAGCAGTAGCACAGCTCCATTGTCCCTAGGGACTGACGGTTGCCTGCGAAGGCAAAGTTAAGAAGTTGTACATAACTACATACTATAAATAAATGTGAATCACGTGAATGATATTGAGGACTGTGTCATATGTTGATGCACCATTGCATCATCATCATACATTGTCAATACTCGATGATACGATAAAACAGAAGCAGGGTATTTTTATCGCATGACTGTCCTACTAGTAATTTAATCTAGTCCTAGTCAGTCTAATCTAGTCACTTTAGTCAAAACTGTGAGTAGTACCTGAAACCCAACTTTTTATTTGAGCTGTGTTCTATGTGTTAATATTATTATTTTAGTTGTACAGTTTTGGTTGTCAGTTTGGTTTTATTCTAGTTTAGTCATGGTTATAATTTGTGTTAACGTTCATGCCTAAAAGATTGGGGAAACTACAGTAAGAAGTGCCATATGTGTCAAAGACATTAAAAGAGGCTGTTATTTTTTAACAATTACTTAATAACAGTTTCTGTTACACCAGTAGTAAAAGTAGTGGTGGTGGTAGTAGATGCATCAGCAATTGTTGTAATACTTGTATTAATTGTTAATTGTTGCAGTGATCATACAGTGGTAATAGTAGTAGTAAAAGCAGTCATAGCAGCAGCAGTAATAGTAGTGGTGGTGGTCTTGATAGCAGTAGCAGCAACAGAAGTAGTGCAGTAATAGGGAAAGTAATAGCTTCACACTGTTACAACCTTCTATAAACTCACTTTGGGAATTCCATTGTTGACAAAGTAAAATCTTCAGGTTTGTTACCAGTCAGAAAATGAGATCTTCTGTTGTATAATGAAAGACCTGAATGAAAGAAAGAGTGAATCAGGGTGATAAAAGAGGTGACTGTCTCTATGATTTAAAAAAAAAAGATGACTCCCATAATGAAATAATTGTCGTCATTTAACAGTTGTAGCAACATATGGCAGGGTTATACAGCTAAGATAACTCATGTTGAAAATGGGGATCGTCAGGGCCAGAGGCTCAAGCCCCAAGATGGACAGATCATTAATAGAATACAGTTGGCAGTGATCCATGGGCCACTTGCTAGGCCTCTGTGATGCCAAGCAAGATTGTAAAGTCCGATTAGCACAGAGGAAGCATTAATATATCATCATCATCATCCTGAAGCAGGTCTGCCTGAAAGAAACTCAGTCTCTTGCCAGCTCTCCCACCTTGTGTACTTTCATATTCAAGGAGTCATTTATATCTTACGCCTATCTTCATTTTGCTCGGCCCCTGCCATTTCTTCCTGGTACCCTGCCTTCTGTTGTAACTTTTTCTAGTCTGCCATAGAGCTTGATGTGGCCAAAGTATTTCAGCTTTTGAGTTATGAAGCTGTTCAACTGTGGCATTAGTACATACAGAATGAACATGAATAAAATATGTTACAAAAAAAAAGGAGGAGAAATGTTGGGGGGGGGGGGGTGTGGTTACAGCTGCCATTAAATAGCTGGTGCATTGCATAATGACTCAGTTTATGGCTATTTATACTTGTTTGATTTTCACCCTTGAAGTGTTAATCCTGCAAACTGCGATCTTGGAGAGGAAAAACTTGTTGCAAAACAAAAATGACACAGCATACAGCAAAAAAAAAAGCCAAGCCTTAGTGCTGTTGTGATTACAAAACTATGTAATTGTAACAGTAGGAGCTTGAGTTCTGTTGTGATTACAAAACTGCTTGTTTTATTGTAACAGAAGGAGCTTGAGTGCTGTTGTGATTACAAAACTGTAATTGTAACAGTAGGAGCTTGAGTGCTGTTGTGATTACAAAACTATGTAATTGTAACAGTAGGAGCTTGAGTGCTGTTGTGATTACAAAACTATGTAATTGTAACAGTAGGAGCTTGAGTGCTGTTGTGATTAAAAAACTATATAATTGTAACAGAAGGAGCTTGAGTGCTGTTGTGATTACAAAACTGTAATTGTAACAGTAGGAGCTTGAGTGTTATTGTGATTACAAAACTATGTAATTGTAACAGTAGGAGCTTGAGTGCTATTACAGAACTAAGTGATTAACAAGAACTATGTAATTGTAACAGTAGGAGCTTGAGTGCTGTTTGTGATTACAAAACTATGTAATTGTAACAGTAGGAGCTTGAGTGCTGTTGTGATTACAAAACTATGTAATTGTAACAGTAGGAGCTTGAGTGCTGTTGTGAGGAAAAAACGATATATTGTAACAGAAGGAATGCTTGAGTGCTGTTGTGATTACAAAACTGTAATTGTAACAGTTCTCCTAGGAGCTTGAGTGCTATTGTGATTACAAAACTATGTAATTGTAACAGTAAGAGCTTGAGTGCTGTTGTGATTACAAAACTGTAATTATAACAGTAGGAGCTTGAGTGCTATTGTGATTAAAAAACTATGTAATTGTAACGGTAGGAGCTTGAGTGCTGTTGTGATTACAAAACTATGTAATTGTAACAGTAGCAGCTTGAGTGCTGTTGTGATTACAAAACTATGTAATTGTAACGGTAGGAGTTTGAGTGCTGTTGTGATTACAAAACTGTAATTGTAACAGTAGGAGCTTGAGTGCTATTGTGATTACAAAACTATGTAATTGTAACAGTAGGAGCTTGAGTGCTGTTGTGATTACAAAACTATAGTAATTGTAACAGTAGAAACTGAATGCTGTTAGGTTATGACACAATATCATTGTAACAGTAGGAGCTTGGGTTTTATTGTGATTATGAAACCGTATAACAACAAAAAGTTAGAAGCTGTTGTGGTTATAAAACAGACTTCAACATCAGTTTCCTCTTTTGTGATTAAGCGCCATGGGGAGGACCAGTTTGCGAGCCGTTGCTTGTGGGTTGCAATGGCTGTTATCAGTCCCTTTCAATGTAGAAGCTCTTTAATGTCATAAATTCATCTTCTCCTAGGGCGACCTCCTGCTTTTTACCTCAGATCTTTTCATCTGAACATTAACTGTAGTTAACCATAGTGCTGTTGTGATTATAAAACAGTAGTAGTAAGCCAGAGTGCTGTTGCAACAAGTAAATTGACTATAGTAAGCCAGAGTGCTGTTGTAACAAGTAAATTGACTGTAGTAAACCAGAATGCTGTTGTAACAAGTAAATTGACTATAGTAAGCCAGATTGCTGTTGCAACGAGTAAAATGGCTATTGTAAGCCAGAGTGCTGTTGTAACAAGTAGATTGAATATAGTAAGCCAGAGTGCTGTTGTAGCAAGTAAATTGACTATAGTGAGCCAGAGTGCTATTGTAACAAATAAATTGACTATAGTGAGCCAGAGTGCTGTTGTAACGAGTAAATTGACTATAGTGAGCCAGAGTGCTGTTGTAACAAATAAATTGACTATAGTAAGCCAGAGTGCTGTTGTAACGAGTAAATTGACTATAGTAAGCCAGAGTGCTGTTGTAACAAGTAAATTGGCTATAGTGAGCGAGAGATGCTGTTTTGAGTATAAAACTGTAACTGTGGTAAAACTGTAAGTGCTGTTAGGATTAAAAAAATGGTAACCAAAGTAAGCCATCGTGCTGTTGTGATTATGAGACTGTATAAGGAATGTATTGTACATTGTAATATGGACATTATATTTATAACCAGGACCTTTTTCTGGATTTTTTATGTAAACTTATTTAACATATATTCCTCAGGTACATCAACTGTGCAGTGATGTGATGCCACAGGGTGTAGCAGTTTATTCATCCAACTAAAGAAGGGTGCACTTGAAGTTGATGGGAGCAGGGGCTGTCAGTGGTCACAGTCAGGGAACTGCAGGTGGCACACAAGTACCAGCCCACTGTGTTTTTGTTGTTTTGTTTTGTTTTTACTGTCTTCTCCTCTTTCTCTTCTTTCTTCTTCTTCTTCTTCTTTTTCTTCTTCTTCTTCTTCTTTTTCTTCTTCTTCTTCTCTTCTCTTCTTTTTTTTCTTCCTCTCCTTCTTCTTCCTCTTCTTCTTTCTCTTCTTTTTCTTCTTCTTTTACTATAGTATGTATGTTTTTATGTGAGTTCTTCTTCTCCTGTGTGTCCTTCTGTCTGTCTGTCTTTCTGTCTGTCTTCTTCTGTCTGTCTGTCTGTCTGTCTGTCTTCTGTCTGTCTGTCTGTCTGTGCTGGGTGGGTAAAAGGGTGGATGTATGTATTGTGTGTACTTTACAGCCTATATGTGTCTGGATTGTATGCGTTTCGTGCCCAAGAGCGTGTGTAAGTGAGCAAACCCTTATGTTGGTGTGTGTTGCTTGCGCGTAGGTGCGTGCTACATATTTGACCAGCCATGCTTTCACCACATGAAAATATTCAAAAATGTGCATTTTATTACATGAATATAACATGCTTCAAACATGAAAAAACTGCTGTGTGAAAGATGGAGAGTTGGAAGGGCATTGTAAGACAGGCCTCTGTAATTGTGTACCAATTTGTAACGGCCTTTGAAAATAAGAGTTTGCAAAGTTCGTTCTTCTTCTTCTCTTCCCCCTCCTGGTCTTTTCTTCTTCTTTTTAAAAATCTTTCTTCTTTGAGACCTTTGACTTCTTTCACACCATAAAAGGGTATGTTGTGTTGTGATTTACAGCTAGGTTGCAGTATTTGCACTTTGCCCAACTCAGTGATTTCAGCAAACCCATATGCTTGTCACGTAGATTACAGACAGTATCTTTCTCTTTTCAGTTCCTACCCTGATGATATTCCACCTTTTAAAGAAAAATTGCTTCAAAAATAAAATTCTGTCTAAATAAACCATTGATCTTTCTCTGTTATGCATGATGTTCTAGAGGCCTGCAAAGAAGAAGAAGTCTATTTCAACCCTTTATCAGTTTAAAAAAATCATCACGGGGTTCTCCTGGTCTGCCTTCTTCTACCATTGATCTTTCTAGTTATCATCATGTGCCCTGCTCAGTGGCATAGACGCCAATGCTTCTCCGTAGATCTCAGTATTTTGAATCAGTTCCACTGATGATATTCCACCTTGCCATGTTCTCAGGCCTGCTTCTGTCTCTTCTACCATTTATCTTTCTGGTCATCACGATGTTCTCCTGGTCTGCCTCTTCTACCATTGATCTTTCTAGTTATCATGATGTTCTCCTGGCCTGCCTCTGCCTTTTCTTCCATTGATCTTTCCAGTTATCATGATGTTCTCATGGCCTGCCTCTTGTCTCTTCTACCATTGATCTTTCTGGTCATCACGATGTTCTCCAATGCCTCTGTCTCTTCTACCATTGATCTTTCTGGTCATCACGATGTTCTCCAATGCCTCTGCCTCTTCTACCATTGATCTTTCTGGTCATCACAATGTTCTCCTGGTCTGCCTCTGTCTCTTCTACCATTGATCTTTCTGGTCATCACGATGTTCTCCTGGTCTGCCTCTGCCTTTTCTTCCATTTATCTTTCCAGTCATCATGATGTTCTCATGGCCTGCCTCTTGTCTCTTCTACCATTTATCTTTCTGGTCATCACGATGTTCTCCTGGTCTGCCTCTGCCTTTTCTACCATTGATCTTTCTGGTCATCATGATGTTCTCCAATGCCTCTGCCTTTTCTACCATAGATCTTTCTGGTCATCACGATGTTCTCCAATGCCTCTGCCTTTTCTACCATAGATCTTTCTGGTCATCACGATGTTCTCCAATTTCTGCCTCTGTCTCTTCTACCATTGATCTTTCTGGTCATCACGATGTTCTCCTGGTCTGCCTCTGCCTTTTCTACCATTGATCTTTCTGGTCATCACGATGTTCTCCAATGCCTCTGCCTTTTCTACACACAAAATGCTAGGGTTGGTTCTGCAATATCATGTAAAGGATACACAACTAACTGTTTGCAATGTAGTAAAGGTTCTGTGCCAACTTTTATCTCTTATGACTTAATTTGTGATTGTTTATCTTCTGGGTCGCTCCCGCAGCCTTTCTCAGACATCTCATTTGCATGGTTACTATTATTATTGTCTGGTTTGTTGTGAGTGAGTCTGGTACAGGTATCATAGGGAGGGGATGAATATGCTTTGTATGAGATGTTTCTCTGTGCTGACCAAGGCTGTTTTAGTGATGTAAGGAGGGGCGTTAGCTATCCAATCCTTGGTTTGCTTTATTGCATCAAATGTTAATTTCTGTATCCATCCTGTCATCTTTGGTGAACATTAATTTATTCGATATGTAGCTTATTTTCTGCGAGAGACTCCTTGCATCTCATGAACTACATTTCCGCAGCCTCCAAGTTCTTAATTTGGTCATTCCCATTCACATTCCAAGATTCATTACCTTACTTCAGCACTGGTTCAGCATAATTCAGCATAACATTTTAGGACTCTTTTTTATTATCATGTTCAATGTGAGAGACTTGTTGCATGAAATAGTTTTCATCTTTTGAAATGCCATCTTCACCTGTCAAATCTTAATCCTAATCTCACATCTTCCATCAGATGTTATAATTGTCCCACATACTTCTTTGTGCTTATGGGGTATAAGGTATACCCCAAACTTTTAGACTGTATGAACTTATTAGATGATGTAAACCTGATCCTTATAGAAATAGATATTTTAACAAATTTAAAGGGAAATCATTAAAATTTATTTTATTTGATTTTGACTAAAAGGTTGTGAAAATGTAGTTCACATAATTTTGACTGAAAGATTGCTAAAATTTAGTTTATATCGTTTTGACTAAAAAGGTAAGAATTGAGCCACACCATTATATTATGTCATCTACAGTAAAACAAGTATGTTACATAATCACTTATATTGTTTAAATTTTTTAGAACCAAGAAAACCAGTTTAGAAATTCAGATAACTTACGTAGAACGAGCCAAACTACTTTGCCGACTGCTAGAAGTGACGTAAGGAAACATTCTCTTCCCACTTTACAAATGAAGATGTCATGTGACAGGTGCTCAGTAAACTTCTCCTTGTTTAAAAGAAAGGTAAGCGGAAGAAATGTGTTTAAATGCTAAATACAATGGTAGCCAACAGTTTAAGACCACCAGCTAGAGATGAACAATACTAAAAGTGAGAATCGTCAAATGGTATGTACACTCAGCCCTGCTGTGGGGTGCAGGAACTTGGACAATGAACAGGCAACTAGGAAATCTAATTGAGTCTCTGAAAATGTGATATACAGAAGACTAGGTCATATTTCATGGAAACAAAAACCATCAAATGCAGAGGTTCTGGAAAGACTGCAAATGAAAAAAGAACCTTCACTATGGAGTCGGTGCCTGATTGATTGATTGTATACAACTGTGTTTCCACTCTGTTATGGAGTATTGAATCAGCTGCAATTTTAGGGCATAATGATGACTGCAGTGATTGATTTTAGTAGGTCTTAAAATAGTATTTGATGCAGTACTCTGTAACAGTATCTAGAAAATTGTCATATGTGGTTTTAAACTGTTGGTCATCACTGTAGAACCTGTGTTGATGCATTGACTGGAGCCTCTGTAGATGATGTGGATTTACAGAAGAATAGGTCATATTTTGTTAAATCAAAAATAATCGAAGTACAGAGGCTCAGAAAAGACATAATGAAAAGAGGGTTGTTGGAAGATGTTAAAAAAGGAGGCGAGTGAAACATTTCAACATTGTTTCAAAATTTCCTTTGACAGTGTTTCAGATGTCTTCAACATTGTTTCACATTGCCTTCAAGTGCTCCAGGTTGACTTTGACAGTCTTTCAAATTGCCTTTGACAGTGTTTCAGGTTTCCTTCAAGTGCTTCAGGTTGCCTTTGACATCATTGATGGTGTTTCAGGAAGCCTTCAAGTGCTCCTGTTTGCCTTTTGACAGTGTTTTAGATTGCCTTTGACAGTGTTTTAGATTGCCTTTGACAATGTTTTAGATTGCCTTTGACAGTGTTTTAGATTGCCTTTGACAATGTTTTAGATTGCCTTTGACAATGTTTTAGATTGCCTTTGGCAGTGTTTCAGGTTTTCTTTGACAGTGTTTTAGATTGCCTTTGACAGTTGTTCAGGTTGCCTTTAACAGTGTTTCAGGTTGCCTTTAACAGTGTTTCAGGTTGCGTTTGACAGTGTTTTAGGTTGCCTTTGACAGTGTTTCAGGTTGCCTTCGAGAGTGTTTCTTATTGATTTTTTAAGTGTTCAAGATTGTCCATATTGCAGCTAGCTATTGCCCATGACAATGTTATCACAGGTGGTCCCCATGGGTACAAGGTGAAGTTGCCTCCATCTTTGAAGATCATAGGTTCTTTCATGGACTACATGATTTGTTTCTTTAGAGCCATTTTTATTGGACCATCACAGGGGGCTGTGAGGTTTGTGCTTTGTGTGGTGCTCTTGACAGGCAGCAAGCCCTTCTGCTGAAAGAGAGAAAGCCATGTGGGTTAAAACGCTATTCAGCGAAGGCAATCCTCTTGAATTTAAACCTTTAATCTTAAAAAGTAAAATAAAAGTCCTTTTGCATGCCTGTGGTGCGTCGGGCATGTGAGACTGGACTCGTATTTTTTAATAGACCAATCAGCCCTGGATGGGTGATGCGGTCATCATCACATCACTTTACCTGGTACCCATTTAAGGCTGGGTCGACCTGGGAGCCAAGCTCATGTATGAAATAATCATGCTTCGTTTCGATTTCTTTTCTTCATCTTACTTTTACAGACTACATATGGTGCTCAACCCTTACTTTTACAGACTACATATGGCGCTCAACCCTTACTTTTACAGACTAACCGGCACTGGATTTGTAATATATGTTATGTTGGTTACTGTTAGATAAAGAAGCTACAGACTGATTGTAAAAGATTCACAAAGCATGTAGAGAAAGCTGGAGACAGGTGCCATATTTTTTTTAGTATATGACGATAGGTTTTCTTAAATTTAAGGTGTGTGCAGAGTGACAAGCATCATTTCAGAGGTCCTAATTATTTAGCATTCTTTGGCTATTTTGTCCAGGGCATGCAGAAGTGTTGGTAAATAAACAGACTGAATAGCTAGCTCTGCACCACCTGCTGGTCAGTTGGTGCATGACAAGTGAGATGTTATCAAAGCCCCTTGGGAGCATAAAAAGGGTTTGGAGGCAGACATAGATCATTATAGTCTGAAAAGAATGGTGCAGCCGTGATTGATCTGATGATATGGTCCAACACTCAACACTGGCATTGCGACTCTCAGGAAGGGGGCCTCAGTGGGCAGGATCAATGCTATACGAAAGACTAAACGGTGTGAGGCTTTCAGTTTTGTAGAAAATGATTTTTCACTGAAAAGACTGCATACCCTGGGTGTATCAACTTGAGCAGCGAGACAGGAAAACCATGCGGGAGTCACCCATCATTATTACATCAGTGCCAGAACAGAATGGGAGTTGTTAGCCTAAAAACACTTGGAGACATACTCTGGAGGAGATAGGAGCACTCATGGTCATGTGTGATGTGCGATGAAGATGATTCCAAATATGAACAATGAACTCAACACTCTGGGAAAGGCAGTGAGACTGCTACTGTTATCACTGGAGTTAGAACTCTTTGCTGGCTGCTGAAGATTGGGATGAAGTGCTTATGGTTTGGCCATTTGTCACTAGGACCCTCACGCGGAAAGCAAGGAATAGTGAGTGACACTGCACCCTACCAGGCATGTTGTAAGAGTGGACTAAGGGTAGGGTTGGGCTTGAGGTTGGCTACCTCATCTTGTCTAAACAATAGCCACAAAAACCACCAACCATGGAAAAGTCACGCACAAAAAAAAGAGAAAAAAGTGTAACCCAGCAAACCAGGATGGAAGTTAAAAGATGAGGAGGACATGTGGAGAGTTGCATGCGATATCGAAGGTTAGAACAACTTGGTATGAGTTGGTTGAGGGCCTGTGCTCCATTGGGGGCTAGAAAGGCAGAAGAAGAAGAAGACTTATGGGGTTTCCCAAGTGCTATGATGTCATTTCCTAATCAGCTGAGCTCAAAGAAGTTACATAGTTGTTTTGTTTGATTTTTCCAGAAATACTGTCAAGAATGCCATAGATACTTTTGCTCAACTTGTCTGCCTAAGCCCAACTCAAGCTCAACGGTTGGCAGGCAGTGTAGCAAGTGTCGCCTTCTCATGTCTGGGCATTTCTCTCGTGATGATCTGCTGACATGGAAAGTGAATGACATGAAGTGCTTCTTGAATGTCAGAAATATCTCGACGAAAGATTGCAGGGAGAAGCACGATTTAGTTGAGTTGGTTTTGGCACGGTTTTGCACGCTGTCTCGGCAGTCGATTCAGGATCAAGAGGAGCATGAGATTCTGGTTCGACAAATGGCCGTGAGTAGAATTAAGTTTAGCATATTGAAAAGTCATTGTTTAAAAACGTTACGTTCATTTACAAGTTTTAAGTTGAAATCGAGAGGACCATCTTAATTTCACTGGTTTAATTCCATATAGCTAAGCCTCTGTCTATAGAACTATAGGCTACTTGCCAAGAGCATCACTTGAAGTATGAACTTCATAGCTCCAGTGTTGATCCCCCAAAAAAATTGCACTTTATTAGAAAGAGAGAGAACTACAGGCCAAGAATAATGCATCACTTGAAGTAATGACAAAAGTGTTGATCCCCCCCAAAAATTTTTTTATAACTATTGATTAATTTTTTAACTTTATTGTTATGTTATATGGATATTTTGACATTTTGCCATTTTGTAGGCAATGTGACCAGCTTTTCTCAAGCTGTTTGCTGATTCTACCTATAAAAACTTTCCGTCCTTTTCAGGATGAAATTTTGCGTCATTTGAAGCCCTACTCTGGCTTTGCCAGGGGCCACAATATAGCCTGGTCATAAATATGACCTAGAGGCTGAGCGCGGTTTCTGGGACCTCTCCACGGTGATCCTCACCCGCATGGTGGGTTAGAAAGTCAGTCAGTCTGATTCCACCTAATTTCATGCATCTGTGCTGAAAACTTCCATGGTTGAAAGTTAAATTCAGAATCATCATCACAGCACTCAAGTAGTTCTAGTTCCCATGACCCATTGTATATCCACCGTTCCCTCATCTCCCAAACCCTTTAGTCCCATTGTAGCAAGCTCAGGAATATTAGGTTAAAAGGGAACCTCAGAGGCAAGGAACCAACAGTCTGCACACAAAAGTAAACCAGATCTGTAAAATGGATGTGCACACAAGACTCAATTTTTGGATCAAGCCCTCAACTTCCTTGCGTTCACCGTCTGTAAACTCCATTAGGACGTTCTGGTTGTTCATCCACCTCTGGACTTGAGTCAGCAAATTTGGGAATTATAAAGAGATGTACTTAAATGTTTTTGTGCATTTTTAAAAAAGGCATGTGATAATGCTGACTGTATACGTAAATAGGTGAAATCTGTTACAGGCCCATGTAAGAGATATCAGCTCAGTCAGTGTGTCTTCAAGCAGCGGGACCAGTAACAACAACAGCCCACTATCTCAAAAAAGCTCACAGGCCAGACCTTTGTCTCGGCAGCCAGATACATCAGAAGCAACAGGAGACAACTTAGCGTCAACATCCAGTCTAGCATCCACAGCTCCACCAACTAACCCACTGCCATCACCACCAGGAGAACCTCGTACAGACAGCTCCGCTGCTGGGTCTTCAGGAGTGTGGTCAGAGACCACAGCCTCTCATCGAGTCCCAGAGGAGCCACAAGGGATTCATTTTGAGTTGAATAATGACAACCTTCAGGAGTTTCTGGAATCTATGGAGAGGATTCAGGAACTTATACGTCAGCACGATACATCGGGGCAGGTAAGTGTGGATTGTTACGTATGTTTCTTCTGTGTTCGTCCTTAAAAATACGGTTGTCGTTTACATCTAGGCTGTGATATCTGTGCTTTTAGCTCAACACAGCCATTTCTGCAAATCCTTAATTATTCCTTTGATAGATTTACGTTGAGCTTTAACCCTTTCACCCCGTAAGAATGATCGTTTTTAAAATGTTGTGAATCAGAAACAGATCCTGGTAATTCTCTGAAACTCTAGTTGAGGAATCTAGGGAAAGAAATTATTATGACATAGCGATGACATCACCATTTTAAGAAAATGAAATGTTGCCACTTCAGATCATGCCATGGCGAATGGTCAAGCCGTTTGCCTCGTGCTTTGAAGGTTGTGGTTTCCTTTCACGGCTGAAACGTTCAGTTGACAAGTGCAATTTTTCTGGGGATTGTCACTAGAGCTATGGAGTTCATGCTTTGTGTGGAGAGAGACTGAGCCATATGGGATAAAACGCAGTGTTATTAAGTCGATTCTCTCGACTTTAACCTTCAACCTCTTTTGAAAAAAAAGTTGAGTCTTGGTCAGTTTTTATAAAAATCTTGGGGGTTGAAACCTGGGACCACAGAGAAGACAGGCAGTCATAGTAAACACTGTGACATCACAGCCATCAAATCGCTAAAATAATTCATATTAAGTTGAGTTTTATTTACTTTAATGAGCTAAATAATTTATTTTTTTTAAATAAGGAAATTAATCACTAAATACAAACGTAGCGGAGAATTAACTGCTTTCCTTCCTTTTGGCATCGATGAACTTGGTTTTGTTCACTTAGCCACAGGGATAAAAGTGGATTCATAATTGGGTTATTATGATGTAGCGATGACGTAATAATTTAATTGAAATGAAATGTTGTCACTCCAAATAGTGCCTAATTTGGAGGGGATAAATACAATCATGCTCACCACGTCTGCACACTTAAAAATTTAGCCAGAATGAAATCTGTTATTATATAGGTGTAATGGCCATTACCAAAAGATGTGTCATCAAAAACCCAATAATGTCAGCATAACGGCTTTCTCTGGGTGAGGAGGGGTTTGCTGAGACTGGATGTATTAGGTCGAGAGGAAAAGATATTGCAGTCTAGCTGTAATCCACAATACAATCTGCCAGCCACCCTCTTAACCAAGAAAGCAGAAGAAGGAAAAAATAAGGAATAACCAGAAAACTCATGGTGAGTTTATTGGTACTTTCCTGTTTGGATTCTGGAGGTAGGGGGTGGGGGGTAGACCCACTGCTTCCCTCAAAAAGCATGTCATACTAGGTGACCTATTAGGGGAATTTCCCTTGAAGTCAGAGTGCATCTCCCTGAGAGACAAGAAACCAACAGTCTGCCTGCAGATAAGTCAGATCTGTAAAACAGATATACATGCAAAACTCAAGTTCTAGAACAAGACCAAAGTCCAGCAGTGGATGAACAACTAGAACTTTCCACCAGAGTTTACAGCCTTCATCACCTAAAAGAAGAATACAAATCTGGCACTAAATGAGGTTTAATGTATTGATATTGATCCTTCTCCAGGATGAGCCTACCGAGCAGCCAATCAGGCGAATGCAACTTGATGACATCACAGAGATTTCACACATTGATGCCTTATCAGTTCGCCAGCTTAAGGAACTGCTAGTTAACAATTTTGTTGATTATAGAGGCTGCTGCGAAAAGGCTGAGCTAATACAGAAGACCAAGCGATTATGGAAGGATCACCAGGAAAATAAAATACGAGGTGGGTATTATATTCTGTGGCTCAGGGTTTGCCAGTGCGATTTGTAATCGCTAAGTACCGGGTTCAATTACATCTGCGGAGGATTTGGAGCGAAACAGTTTGCATTGATTACCGCAGTGGTACGTAGCGCTTCCCATTCAAAAGCAGTGGCAAACTACTGAATGTAAAATTGCTTATTCAAAAAAACGGCAAACTGCCAGAAAGTGCTGGGGATGGTTCTGCAGTGTCCTGTAGGGTAGAGTTTCTCTTCAACCTTTTTTTTCTACAGGGTAGATTATTTCACAGCCGACCTAAAGAGGGTAAATTGTTTCCACCTGACAGCTAACCAAACATGAAACCAAATGAAAGTGTAAACAGAAGTTTATATTTTAAATCTGCTGTCAAAAAATTACAATCTGCTGCTGCTTAGAGGTTAAGAAAAATCTGATACATGTGGCTGGAGCATTGACAGATGAAGCACTGCAATTAATCCATTCTGTTTCTCTCTTTGGTTTTTAAAGGTTGTTTTATGCAGTTTAATGGGGTTTCTAGGATTTATACTGTATTTCCTGGATTGCTAATCCTAAAGACTGCAGTCTTAGTAGAGAAAAACTACCTACCTAACCCTGTTAAAAAATCAGGCAGATTTTTTACGACCCACCTAAATTTTTCCGCAGCCCAGTGGTTGAAGAACTCTTATGTAAAGGATATGCAGTTTAAAAAAATAATTATATTACGTCCCCCATGGATGTACAATTTTCCGCATGCCGACAGCGATAGTACCCTGGCTGGATACTTACCCCAACATGCCTTTACTTCTCAGAAGTTTACCAGGTGCCCATTTAAGACTGTCGACCTGGGAGCCAAGGTAATTTTTAGCGTCTATCCGCTACACCGCAGCGGCTTCCCATTGTCTTGTAACCTGTTATTATTGTTGTTAAGGATGTCGAGAAAATCTTTAAAACCTATCGTTATGATGTCACTATGTTTGCGTGCACTGTGATGACATCCTTAACAATATCGAGAGGTTACAAGAGAGTGGCATGTTTATTATAATTTCTGTCACACTTTTAAAGACCCTCATATTTAACCCAGAGCTCCCAGGTGGACCTAGCCTAAAATGGGTACCAGGAAATATTTTTGTGAAGTATGTATGCATGTTTGCTCAGCAACTCACTAAGCAAACTACAGAAGATCAAGGCGGGTACATACAGAAACAGTGGCTACACATGATACAGCACTCAGCGTTTCGCAAAATCACCTTCATATTTGTCCCAGAGCATGCTGAAAGAGTAGATGTTCTGGGTGGCAGTTTGACTATCAAGAATGGGCCCTCTATGGACATGAGAAACATCATCAGTGCATACAAGACTAAATTCTGTGATGCTTTCAGTTTCATGGAAAATGATTTTTCATTGTATAGACTGCATACCCTGGACGTACTAATTGAAGCCGTGAGACAGGAAAACCATGCAAGAGCCACCTGTTGATACATCAACCAGAACAGAATGGCAGTTGTTAGCCTAAAACCCTTAGAGACATACTCAGGAGGAGAGGAGATCGAAATACTTACGGTCATGTCCGATGTGCAATGAAGAGATGTTCTCAAAAATGAACAGTCCTGCAAAAGTAAAGACATCCGGCTTGATATTGACGAATTGAGCTGTCAAATGTTGATTGACTTATAATAAATTGATCTAGCACTTTTCCTTTAAAAAAAAATAATAACAGACATAAATCGACTGGCCAAACCGTAAAGAATACATTCACCCGTCAACTCCAGTGAACAGTTCAACAGTTACGCACTGTTAACTGTCAGTCTTTAGTAAAAGGCACAGGAGAAATAGCACAGAAACTCTATAACAAGTTATATATGGATTAACTGTTCAACTTGTGCATTGCTCAACACTCATGGACTTTCACATTTCTGATTGGAGCGAGAACCATAAAGGAAGATAACTCTGCTTTTGCCTTGACCACAAGTAGTCTGACTATGAAGGTAAGGGCAGCAACAAAACTAATGACCTGGCTAGAGGCACAGATTTTCCCCACGTGTGCTTTCTAATTACATGAACTTGCTTAAGGAGACAGTGGTTGGAGTCTCTGAAGAAATCTTGTTTGACAGGAATAAGTTTCCTTTTTGTGCAAGGACACTCCAGGGTCATCATCATCATTATTATCATGTGCCCTGCCAGCAGGCGTAAGCGCTCATGCATCTCAACTGATCACAATCTCTGGTTGCCTAGAACAGCTCTCTTGATGATATCCCTCCATGCCATCATTTCAGCCCATCCAGCATCTTCTCTCTTGGTCTATCTCTACCCCCTTTTCCCACGATGTTCTCCAATGTCCCTCTTCTCATTATGTGGCCAAATAACAGTGTTTGTCTCTTTTTTATTACTCCGGGGTAAGATGGAATAAATGAGTGAACTGGCAGGGCAGTGGACCAGGCTGATGTTCTCAGTGCTCTCAGGAGAGCAGTGATGAATCGGCAACCTTGACAAGACTCCAAGAACTTCATATAAAATGCGGTATTGCTAGACTTGAACCCTATATATATATATATAGCAAAAGAACAGTAAACCAACACACAACTGGTATTGTCAGTTGTCACACACTGATGGAGGGAGTCGCCGCGACATTGGTGGCTAGACGCCAGACTTTTTTTTTCTTCTAAAAAATGACCTTGACTCCCAGGTTGACTCAGCCTTGAGTGGGTACCAGGTGCAGTCCTGGGAAGTAAAGGCGGCTGGGGTGATGCTGACAACATCACCCACCAAGTGCAAATTGGTCTATAGAAATATAGGTCTAGCCCTATATGCCCAATACTCCTAAAGGCGTGGAAAAGGGACCTTTACTTTTGTACTTTAATGCACTGATGGAGATCCTTAAATTGGGTTTCAAGCCCGTATGACCCTGTGTATTGAGGATGATCGGTCTATTAACTAACTATTCTATAACAGATACTTCAGTATAATTACTCTGGTAATTACAGTAAGCTATATACCAATACTGCAGTTACAAGGTGGTTGTGCTATTCCATTTATAGTAAAACAGATATTTATGCCTTTTGGTAACTTGTGTGTAAGTCTGTGTCTCTGTTGTCTGTCCATGTGACTTTTTCTGTCTTTGTCTGTCCATCTATCTGTGTGTGTTTTTGTTTGGGTCTCTCACTCACTCTTCACTGATTTATAAAGAGGGACAAATAACAAATGTGTGTGTGTGTGTGTGGGGGGGGGGGGGGGGGTTAATCTTTTCACATAAAAATTTCATCTATGAAAGGGAAAATACTGGTCTTCACTTGTAAACTGTTGTTACATTAAATGTTCTTTTCCTTTCTGTTCCCTTAGCTCAAAGAATCCACAATCTGGAGGAATCAGGTATTCATGTTTTGTAATTACAGCAATTATGATTTTACCGTTTGTTCATTTGTAAAGCTTCCTCATCACATTTGCTGTTCATTTATCTCTAGTTCTTCTTGTATATGTTAACAAAGAAATAAAATAAGCACATCTGAACATGTTTTTGTTAAGCTTGAACTGGGAATTCCTCCTGTGGATTCCTGATCCCATTTGTGTGTGTGTGTGTGTGTGGGGGGAGGGGGGGGGGAAATATACCAACCATTCTTCAACAAGCATGTCATAAAAGGCTATTAATTAGGACACGCTGAAATCAGATTTGTTAGCTAAAAAGTTCAGGTAACACAGCTTAGCTGTAAGCCACAACATATCCTAACTTTTAATGACAAATGCAGAAGAATAATCTTTAGGGTTATGTAGCTGTTGGTGTGATATCCATGGCTCATCGAGTCACTGTGGTACAAGCTGATATCAGGTGTATTGGTGTTACCTTTCCTTTAAAGTAAACAAGGCTCACAGAATGAAGGATCATGCTGCATGGACAAACCTTGGCAAAACTGCCTAGGCTTTGTGCAATGGAAAGGAAGAACTTAGTCTGTTGCCTTAACCCTTTCACACCAGTAGCGCTACAAAAAAAATTGGTTCTTACCCCAATGGGATTTTTTTTTTTAAATCCATTAAAAACCATTTTACACAGGCTGTTTAAAAAAAAAAAAATTTTCATTATATTTATACATTTGGTCCTTAAAGGGAGTAAACAATGAACATGAAGAGTAAAGCATTAAAGAGAAAACATACTCCAGGGCCTTAAAAATATATTTATCGGGTGACCCATGCTGTGACCTGTATGTCTGAGATTTACAGGATGATTGATATCACCTTGACTTTAAAAAAAACAATAAACTTTGGTTCAAAGAAAAAGCCTCCTAAATGTTATATTCACATCCTGACCTAAAAATGGGCGCAGATGCGAACTTCGCCAGCAGCATTGCCTATAGGTCTCATTAACAGGTTATTACGGACAAATTGGGAAAGTGATATTTATGGAGAATTGGCCCTAGCCGGAAGTGTTGGGTTTGCAGCTTCTTGGGGAGACAGGGTTAATTTGTTTTGGAAGAAGTTTGCTATCAGCGAGGCTGTGATTCGCAGGCATGTGTATAGAACAGTATAATACTATCATCTGAAAAGATGCTATTATATTATATTATATTATATTATATTATATTATATTATATTATATTATATTATATTATATTATATTATATTATATTATATTATATTATTATATTATATTATATTATATTATATTATATTATATTATATTAATATTATATTATATTATATTATATTATATATATTATATATATTATATTATATTATATTATATTATATTTACTTTGTCACTGCTCTTCTACCTTGTGGTATAGAGGTTTGCCAGAGAGATCGCCAGACTTCTCTATCAGCTGTTTTTTTTCTTGCTTTGTTCCATTCCAATCCTCTGTCAGCCAGGGACTGTCGGATGTTGTTATTATATTATACTGTTTTATATTATATTATATTTATTATATTATATTACATTTATTATATTTTTTATTATATTATGTTATATTATATTATATTGTATTATATTATATTATATTACATTTATTATATTATTATATTATATTATATTATATTATATTATATTATATTATATTATATTATATTAAATCAGTTCCTAGTTATTTAACAGAACTGTGATTATAGTTTCCTATATCTTTTCAGCCTTTGAAACTCACAAAACAAATGAACCCAAGGAAATAGTTTCCACTGTGATAGTTCAGGAAGAATTAGTAGTATTATCAGCAGCAGCAACAACACCAGAATCAGGGACAGCAGATGAAGAAGAAACACAAACACACAATTTGCCAACAGGTGATGATGATACAGCAGAAGCCTCAACTGCAAGTAGCAAAACTGAAATGCCTGCAGCAGAAGCAACTACCAAAGGTACCAAAACCACAGAGCCTACAACAGCATCAAGTCGAGAGCTGAATGAACAGAGAAATGACAGTTTATGCCATATATGCATGGACACCCTCATCGACTGTATCTTGTTAGAATGTGGCCATATGGTCACTTGTACCCAATGTGGCAAACGTCTGGCAGATTGCCCTGTATGTAGACAGTATATTGTACGAGTGGTCAGAGTTTTTAGATCTTGATTAACATCTTAGTTTAAAAACAAAAAAATAAATTTAAAAATTCATTGCCAGGAAAGGAAAATACCTCGCCATAAAGATATGCCATTTATTGCTTGTTTCCCTCAAGTCTGAAATAATAAGTGTTTGCAGTTACAAAGTTTATATACCTGAGTATTAATGTTTCTAATAATTTTCATTTGAAGTGTTTTGTTACTTTTCATTTATGATCTTCTATGCCAGATTGTAAGCCCGTCCACTTATGTACAAATGTGCATGTTGTTATTCTGGTTTCTTTTTCAAACACCACTTTTTTGGTTCACATTTTACACATTAAATGTGTAAAAAGAATATAAAGTTATGTGATGTGGGGTCATTACAAGCCATTGAGGTTTGTGGGTGTATCTTGTTTGGCTTGTATTTTTTCCCCAGTTACCCAGTCTCACGTGGAGACCGCAGGGTATATCATGGATTTTTTATTGAGGAAATTCAGGTGTGCGAGGTAATGAGCATGGTGATAAATTACCTGCTACCACTCCTCTGGGTGATGAGTTGCTTTATGATAACATGGCTGTGGTGAAGGCTGTCTGGGATCATATGGATAGCGCAGAAAACCATACACTGAAAGACTAATTCAGTTGGGGAAAGGGGGGGGGGGGGGAGAGAAGAGATCTGGGAGATATTTAGATTTCAGGGTGACACATTGGTAGACTTTTAATCAGGCTCCAGCTGGTACTTTTTGCATGTCATCTCTTTGTTTGTTACTGAAGAAGGAGACTGAACACTTGTGGGAATGTCCTGAGTGCAGTGATGTCAATTCTTGATTGATTCATTTGTTCACTTGGTGCACAAGTGTACACCTGACACTGCTACAACTGTTTCCATTGAGCCTTTATACGAGAGGAAGTCAATAAGTAAGTCACAGATGGTTGTGGGATGGCAGGAACATGTAGTTGGTTGTTTCTAAAGGTGTCAGTAGGTGACAGCATCATGGAACTTTGTGTCTCCGTTCAATATTTGGTGCTAGGTGTTGCATGCACAACACAGACACAAAATGTACAACTGTACTTACAGAGTGATCCCTCACAGAACAACGTGCTGTTGTGCAGTTCTTTTTTTTTGGGGGGGGGGGGGGGGTGTGCTGCCTGCAAAGGACATTCATAAGGAAATGCTTCCTGTTTTTGCTGACAAATGTTTATCTGGTATAGCGGTGCATAGCTGAGTACAGTTTTTTCTCAAGGATTGTTGATGAAGTCCGATTTGGTCGTCCTGTTGAGATTGCAACAGATGCATCCGTGCAGTGCGAGGAGGAAATTATTAGAGGTGGCGGGTGAGTAACTTTAGGGGGAAAACTAATAAAATGCATTCAGAAGTATATTCCTAGATGTTCGCATGCCCAAGTTTTAACCCTCTGAAAATAAGTTTGTTTTTCATTCCTGAAGAAGTAGATCTTATAAAAAAGGTAATAATGTGTATAACTAAGTCTGACCCACTCTGTTTGAAAGGGAAAAGTTAAGAAAGAAGAAATATTTGCTCATTATGTCCATTGTTAAAAATATTTATATAGCTTCTTGCTTGATATGTACACGTACTGTTTAAAGCTGTTTCTACAAGTCTGATTTTTGTTCAATGTTATGAATATGTGTTCAGATTTAATGTGATTGTTATGAATTTATGCTACTTTTGTATGTTAAAAAGGTGTATTTTTATGTTTCCTGTTAGGTGTCTTTGCATGTACGAAAAAGAGTGTCAAAATGTAGCAACTGAGAAAAATTTGGAGAATTCTATAGAAGGATAGATAAACAAATACTGTAGTCTTTTAAGAAGTAGATAAAATCTACAAATTGATTAGACCTTCAGGAAATGAAATGGAATCAACAGCTTCTTCTGCTTCTTCATGTTTACCAACTGTCAGCTCTGGTGGAAACTTCTGGTTGTTCGTCCACCTTCGGACTTTAATCGTGTTGTTCCAGAGTCTGAGTGCTGTGTGCCCATCTGTTGTACAGATCTGGCTTATTTGAATGCAGACTGTTGGTTTGTTGTCTCTCGGCAGATGTAATCCGACTTCGAAGGACTCCCCCAGTTAGTTGACTCCTGTGACATGCTTGTTAGGGAGGCAGTGGATCTGTTCTTGTTTTTCCCACAATGGGGCCCCGGAACCCACATGGGAAGAAATCAGCTGGAAAGCTTAGTGACAACCAGCAAACTGTGGGGGAAAAGGCAGGAGGAAGACAAAGTAATAAATGCATAGATTCCAGTGGGTTTTAGGGCCCTGTGTTGGGGAAAGGCAGAATAGACCCACTTGCCCTTTACATCATTTCTTAAAAAGTGACTGACTACGGGTTTGCTGAAATCGAAAGTGTGAGGCTGAAAGGTGCATTTGTTGCAGCTTAGCTGTAAACTACAGCATAACATGCCAGTCGCCCTTTTAAAGGTGAACACAGAAGATGAAGGAAAAAATACATAGACAGTAGGGTCAAGTCAGGGCAAACACAGAAGATGAAGCAAGAAATACATAGACAGTAGGGTCAAGTCAGGGCAAACACAGAAGATGAAGGAAGAAATACATAGACAGTAGGGTCAAGTCAGGGCAAACACAGAAGATGAAGGAAGAAATACATAGACAGTAGGGTCAAGTCAGGACAAACACAGAAGATGAAGGAAGAAATACATAGACAGTAGGGTCAAGTCAGGGCAAACACAGAAGATGAAGGAAGAAATACATAGACAGTAGGGTCAAGTCAGGGTAAACACAGAAGATGAAGGAAGAAATACATAGACAGTAGGGTCAGGTCAGGACAAACACAGAAGATGAAGGAAGAAAAACATAGACAGTAGGACCGAGTCAGGACAAACACAGAAGATGAAGGAAGAAATACATAGACAGTAGGGTCAAGTCAGGGCAAACACAGAAGATGAAGGAAGAAATACATAGACAGTAGGGTCAAGTCAGGGCAAACACAGAAGATGAAGGAAGAAATACATAGACAGTAGGGTCAAGTCAGGACAAACACAGAAGATGAAGGAAGAAATACATAGACAGTAGGGTCAAGTCGGGACAATCACAGAAGATGAAGGAAGAAATACATAGACAGTAGGACCAAGTCGGGACAAACACAGAAGATGAAGGAAGAAATACATAGACAGTAGGACCAAGTCGGGACAAACACAGAAGATGAAGGAAGAAATACATAGACAGTAGGGTCAAGTCAGGACAAACACAGAAGATGAAGGAAGAAAAACATAGACAGTAGGACCGAGTCAGGACAAACACAGAAGATGAAGGAAGAAATACATAGACAGTAGGGTCAAGTCAGGACAAACACAGAAGATGAAGGAAGAAATACATAGACAGTAGGACCGAGTCGGGACAAACACAGAAGATGAAGGAAGAAATACATAGACAGTAGGGTCAAGTCAGGACAAACACAGAAGATGAAGGAAGAAATACATAGACAGTAGGGTCAAGTCAGGACAAACACAGAAGATGAAGGAAGAAATACATAGACAGAAGGGTCAAGTCAGAGGATGACAGAAAAAATCTAAAGACAACAGGGTCAAATGCCATAACTGGGATAAACATGCATATCCAATAGTTTTGCGATTGTGTAGGATCGACTATTTTAGTAGCATAGCATAGGATTATGGTGAAATGAATCCATTGTCCCTAGTATTTCCGGTCTCAACTACAATATAACAATGTGTGCAAGCAGGACATGAATGATACAGGTATTCAGGTAGATTCATGGGAACAAAATGCCATGGACTGTGATATGGGGAGGGGGTAAATCGGGAATGGAATGAAAATGAATACAGAAAGGATGAGAGCTGAGCATCTCAGAAGAAAAACACTAAATACATATGGTGGCAACAATGGTCCTGATATTCCCATGCTGTAACTGTTGAAGACTTTTCTTAACATGGATGGGTCTTGCTAGTCACACTCGCCATCGCTACAGGCTGTGAGTCTCATGTCTCCTCATAGCGCAATATAACAGTATCATTTGGAAAGACGGAAAGGTGCCAGCAACAGCAACATTTAGTGGCCACATACAGATAGGGAAATGAGATGTAAATGAGCTTCCGGTCACAGAGCCTACATGCATTGATAATGTCTGACAAAAAGATCACTAGAAAGTTCTTTTTCTGGAACATACTGGGCATAAGGAAAAAGAGGGAGATCTATAAATATATATAGAAAAATTATTAGAGACAGATATGACAAATTTGAGGACATGGAAATAGCTACAGGAGAAAGCAAAAGTTTAGTTGTCTTAGCATGAGTTAGTTGAAAGCCTATGCTCCAGTAGAGGATAAGGAACAGAAGAAGAGTAAGAACAAGAGAGGCTACAAGAGAAAGAGAGAGACCTGTTTAATGTTAGATGCTGTATGGTCTTTGTCCAGTGGGAAATAAATAGAAGAAGACAGAGAAGGCGTTGGGGGCAAGCAGAAAGCTTGAGAGTCTTCTTGATTTAAATGTACTAAAAGCCCTGTGGCTAACATTTGCTAATGAAAGAAGCAGATCAGAAGTTGAGTGCAACGTTGCTGTTCCTCGGCAATGGCTCACCAGATTGAAATACTGAATAGTTTCTAATTAACTTTATAATGTGTTGAAAACATTTGCTAACATGTGCCGATATATATTTTTATTTTTAAAAATGTGTTTGTGTTCTAATACATTTGTTTACATGTATGAAACCTTAAAAATTAGCAAGCAGTTAAAAAATCATATTGTCTCTGAAGAAGTGGGTTTACTAAATAATAGAATGTATTGCATGGAAACATGAAAAACAAATCAAATACAGCGGTATCTCAGGTCACAAACTTAATTCGTTCTTTTACTCTGCTCACGAACCCAAAATGTTCATAGTCTAACGTAGTTTTTCACATTGAAATTAATGCACACACCGTTTAAATGTTCAGTTATTTTCTCCTTCTTCATTTCTACTGTAATAAGCATAGTCTTCATTATATTCCTCACACCATAATGATCTATTTATGAATACAAGCCAAAAACATTGCAC